GAGCCGCGCAGAGGTGGGGGCGAACCCAGAGGGCCCCCCGGGGTGGGAGGGCCAGGAATTGTGGGGGGAAGGGAGCGGTGTATAGACGGAAGGCGGAGGGAAAGAAGGGAGCGAGTGGGGCGGAGCGAGAGAAGGGCGGAAAGGGTGGCCGAGCGCGGGCGGAGGACGGAGAAGGGGGCGGCGCGGGCCGGAACCTCGAGGTACGTGCGGGAAGGGGCTTTTCCCCGGGTGGGGAGGGAGTCCAGCATGAGAGGCTTGCGGGAGCGGGGTAGAACTGGAACCCGGGAAGTAGCGGGAATATCAGAAAGGGGACTTGGTGGGAGGGTTGGGGGTGTAGGACTGTGAGGTTTGTTCGAGGGGACATTTTAAGTCGCGGGGGGAAGCTGCTGGGAGAGATCGTTGGGAGGATGGTTAGAAGGAAGAGTGATCCAGGTTCTTTTGTGGGCGGAGTGAGAGACTAAACAGTGGGGTGGGGTCGGGTCCTGGAGGAGCTAAGTACTTCAGATTGAAGAGGAAACAGGGAACGATTTGGAGAATGGGGGTGGTAGAAGAACAACGTTTAAAGAGTAATTTTTGGGAGGAGGGTGGACGGTTTGAGGGGTGTGGAGGAATGCAGTTTAAAGAATAGTTTCCTTGGGAGGTAGGAGGAAGGGTTAAATAGGTTGGTAGGAGGTCCCAGCGAAAGTCTGGGGGTGAATTGGAAGGGGGGTTGGGGAAGAGAGGGGAAGCGGATTGAGAAGTCCCAGAAAGTGGGCGGGACTAGACATAGGAAGTGTTTTGTAGCTCCCACTGAAGGGATGGGAGGGGGTCGGAGGAGAGGGTGGAGAAGATGGGATTCGGTGGGAGGAGAATCCAGGATAGAGTGAGACCTCCAGCAGGGCTAGAAAAGAGGGGCTTTGGGGTAGATAGGGGGTCATAGCAATAAGAGGAGGAAGGGCTGAGATGGGGCTGCAGAGTAGCAGAAGATGGAGAAAACTGGAGTAACTCAGATCGACTGAAGTCATCTTTTCCACCCATTGTCTACAAATACCAGTAATTGATTCCCCCCATCATGGGAATCCTAAAATGTGATGGGAAAGTACCACGTGTATGCATAGTATCCACACATGTTTTTGAACACACTCTTCACTAATGAAAAGTTTGGAAGCATTCATTTCCACCTACCCTCCATAGCCCCTTTTTGGAGGGGAGCAAGCTTCTCATTTGGAAACAGAATTTTAGTGTTTAATGACATAAGCCTGTCAGGAGACAAGATTTTCCTTTTGAAACTTAGACCATCCCCTTCAGTCACAAACCACAATAACACTGCTAATAAAAATAATCTGATTCATTTGTATATGAAAACTTCCTGAATTGTTCATTTGATGGAAAGGCACATAGAAGAATAGTTATCTTTAGAGAAAAGAGAAAAAAACCTTTCAGAACTTAATCCTTGAAGCAGTTTGGTGAACCTTGACTGTCATGTTTGAATTTTTCTTCCATTTATGTAAACTTGGTTTTACTCTGATAACCTGCTGCTTTTGTAGAAAAGTTTAGTCCACTATAAACATGAAAATAATTATATAGTATAGCATTTAGACATTCTATTGAACATATACTAAGAAAATGCCACATTCCCTGCTGGTAATAAGTCGTTTGACCCTAAAGGCTTACCATGTTTTAGGCACTGTGCTGAGGACTTTCCATTCATAACCTCATTAAGTTTTCACAACAGCCCTTTGGGATAGGTTCTTTCTTATACCCAGTTTATTGGTGAGGAAACTGAAACTTAGAAGGTTAGATTATTAATCCCATGTCACACTTAGGATAAGTGACAGAATCCAGGTCTGATGACTTGAGTTCTCCCTGCATTCCTAAACAGCCGTCCCTGGGACTGAATAAAAGCTCAGTAAATGCTAGGTGTTGGTCTCCAATTTGAAAACCTTTTGTGTCACGTATTTAATTTTTTTAAATAAAAAATGAATTTTTATATTAAGAATTGTAAAGTTAAAGCCTTTATTCCCTATCTTAAAAAAATACAAGAAGAAAGGTTGTAATGAAAATTTATAAAGTACTGCTTAGCTCTAGTAAAATTTAATTATTTTTAGTCACCATTGAGTCCCCTTGTTTGGGTAAAAGCTGTATATGTTCTAATTGGATCCATACCACACCTCTGCCACATTATATTTTGGAGGCAGTTACGATTATGAGGATCATTGCTCATTCATTCTGTTGTCTGTAAGACATTAGTAATCTGAACAATTTAACAATTTAGAAAGTAAACTATAAGAGACTTAATTTTGTTGAACATTAAAATGAATCCGTGACAAAGAATGTCCTCTGTTCTTTTGGCTTATTTTGCCTTATACTTAGTTTTCAATCTTGGAGGTGACATTGAGTAGATCTCTAAATTTCATCAATTGAATATGATAAAAAGGCTTGTTTTTGACTGCCTACCCCAGAGATGTAATAGGTACTTGGCTGGTAGTTGTGTAGGTTACTGATCTTTGTAAAACAATCAGAAGTTATACAGAAGTACTGTATTTGAGGATTTGTGGGAGAGGACTGCTGGAGAGGCCATATTGTGGAGGGGTTAAGTTCACATCCCACTTACTAGCTCTGTGACGAGTTACTTAACCTTTAGTTTCTCTAAGCATGTTTCCTCATCTGTAAAATGGGAATAAGAGTGCTTACGTCATTAAGGTTGTTCTCAAGATGAAACCAGAAAATCAGATAAGTCTCCACAGAAATTTAGCTATGGGAGAAATGAAGCTTTTTGTATTATAATGCTCTGCCTGGATTTTTCTTCTTAAATTGTGTTTGTACTCTGATTTTTTTTCAGATTTTTTTTCCAGGTTTTAGTAATAACTTTAATAGTAACTAAACTCAAAGTAGAGGTAGAAGTCAAAGACAAAGACAGTTAAATAAGGTATGTCCCAGATTGATACAGTTCCACTTAAATCTTTGAATTTTGAGTGGGGCTCCATTGTGGCTCTGGATTGGTTTTGAAATGCTGATTCTTTTGCTGTGCTGTAGTTTGTTCAGGGGTCTTAAAGTTATCAGACCACTGTCCTGAGAAGCAGTAGTGTGTTGACTTTACCTGGGACCCCCAGACTGTCTTCATGTCTTAGGATGATCTGGGGCAAGAAATTTCTACAAATTTTGAAGCCCCAGAAAAGACCTTTTATTTCTTTTAAATAGGAAAATATTGAGAGTTAATTAGAATATTTAAAGTACTTTAGAAGAAGTTTCCTTTAGAAAGCTAAACTTGAGGGGTGCCTGGGTGGCTCAGTCATTAAAGCATCAGGTCATGGTTCCAGGATCCTGGAATGGATCAAGCCCTCATTGGGCTGCCTGCTCCGAGGGAAGCCTGCTTCTCCCTCTCCCTGCCGCTCCCCTGGCTTGTGTTCCCTCCCCCTGCTTGTGTTCCCTTTCTTGCTGTGTCTCTGTCAAATAAATTCTTAAAAAAAAAAAAAAACTTGAGTAAGTTAGGAATATAAAATTATATTGTTTAGTGATGTGAAGGCCTGGAAAAATTAAGCAGGAAAAAATTTCCTCCTTTTTTGAGATATGGGGGTGGGAGGAGCTGAAATAATTCATTTCAGGGGAAAGAGGTCCCCCCCCCACCACTTTGCCATCACTCCAGGCCCACACTAGTTGTGGCCTATGAGACTCCCCTCTGAAGTACAGTGAATTAAACATCTTTCAAAAAGTGACATTGCAGAAATTTTTCCTTGGTCTACAGTTAAACATACTGTCAACTTAGAATTATTATTCTTAACCAAAGGCAAGTAAGTTGGTCCTCACCAAATCTTCCAATGACTCCTTTTTAGTTTCATGATTTGATAGAGTGTATTTTTCAGGCTGTGTCTTCAAAGGTTTTTAATAAATCTGCAATTTCTGTACAAGCAGTATCTTAGAATAAGTATGTAGAAATTGTTCTACTTTAATGTTGGAATTAGTGGAGACTGAAGACTTAGGATTTTTTTTTTTTTAATGAAGATTGTATTTATTTGACAGAGCGAGACACAGCGAGAGAGGGAACACAAGCAGGGGGAGTGGGAAAGGGAGAAGCAGGCTTCCCGTTGAGCAGGGAGCCCGATGCGGGGCTCGATCCCAGGACCCTGGGATCATGACCCGAGCCGAAGGCAGACGCTTAACTGACTGACCCACCCAGGGGCCCCTAGAATTTTTTTTGTTATACAGAAAATATTTTATCATAATGTTATATTTGTTATTACTAATAGGATTTGATTTGTATTATACTACTTCACCTCTTCGTTTTCTTACTACCTGCCTACTGTCAAGAGTATAGGGACAGATTGGGCTGCGTGTTATCAGATTCTTTAGTCAGCTCCACATTAAGTGAAATACACATTCCCTGTCATCTCCGTCAGGTGTGTCCTCAGTGAAGTACCCAGGTATACCTACTTACTCTGGCCCTGAGAATTCAAGTTGCCTAGGGTAGTTATCTCAAGGAGCAAGAAAAGGAATAATAAAATTCAGGCGATAGCCTATTTTAAGGCACTAAAGTAGATTTTTGAAGATTTATTTGAGAGCACTCATTCATGAGTGGGAGGGGCAGAGGAAGAGAGAGAATCTCAAGTAGACTCCACACTGAGCACGGAGCCAACATGGGGCTCAATCTCACAACCCTGAGATCATGACCTGAGCTGGCCATTTAACTGCAACACCCAGGCACTCCTAAAGCAGATTTTTAAAATTTGCTAAAGGAATGCCTTCTCTACCGTTTCTCCCATGTACATAAATGTAGCCAGACCAGTCCACAGGTTCCTATGAGTGGGTCTGAACTTCATTAGTGTTCACATCTGCAGCATCCCAGTAGGACTAGCACTATTTTTAACCAGCATGACTACGGACAGCAGCAGAATGGTGAAGCTGTAGGCCTCAGAATTTGTATTTTCAGGAGCATTGCTAGATGTTTGCCAGTATGGAGAGATCTACTGAGGCAGGGCCTCCTATATAAGTGGGTAAAGCTCTTCTGACCCAGCTACCAGGCATCTGTTTTCCTTTGCCCACTTGGGCCACTGTTTAGAATTCCTGTTCTAAAAGGAAACTGTTCAGGAAATGTGGAATGCACTGAAAATATTTCTGCATCCCCCTAAAACAGTCCCATACGTACTCCTCTCAGATGTGTTTCCAGAGGCCTTAGAGATTGATTTCCTTCCCTGCCGTGGTCTTCCAGAACTTATCTGTATGAACACTTAATTGTTTCTCAGAAACTACCTATGTATTATTATAGCCATCAAGAAACATATAGTGCATTATCAGTCATCAAAAGCTTAGTTATAAGAACCCTTTAATCTATATGCATTTATTAACCTTTAGAAACTTTTCAACTTCAGTTTCTAGTTATTGAGGTTTTTTTTTTTTAAGATTTTATTTATTCATAAGACAGAGAGAGACACAGTGAGAGAGGGAACACAAGCAGGGGAAGTGGGAGAGGGAGAAGCAGGCTTCCCGCCGAACAGGGAGCCTGATGCGGGTCTCAATCCCAGGACCTGGAGATCATGACCTGAGCCGAAGGCAGACGCTTAACGACTGAGCCACCCAGGCGCCCCTATTGAGGTTTTTTTGATTCATGGGTGAAATACACCTATCACTCTCTAAATTATAGTCAAAATTACAGTGTGGGAATACCGATTTGCTTTTTCCATTTTCTAAAAAAATAACTGTCTTTAAAGCACTTTTGCATATATGTGGTCTTCACAGTAGTGTAATGAGTCCGATAATCTAGGTGTTAGCCCCATGGTCATTAAGTGACGTGTATGATGACACAGTGAAAAGTTCTACACTTACAGGCTGGAACCTGACTTTAAGTCTTCCAGTTTTAAATTGTAATCCTTTCTTCAAGAAACCTTAGAAGAATTTTAAAGGTGCTTTTGGTTGTTCAGTTGATGGTGGTGTAGGGCCTCCTTAGCCTGTCAGAAGACCTTTGCCCTTCAGCCTCGTGTATTTGTTCTCAAGCAGCACCACAGCTGGTGCTGCTGCAGAAGGTCTGACTTACAGATGCCTTCTGGATCCCCTGTTGCCCTTCTGACCGTGTCTGCAGTGCCTGCCTGATGCTTTGATGTCTTTCATTCTCACTAGTACTTGGTTTTCTCCTTTGGGAACGTATTGATTTTGAGTATAGATAAAGACAGGTGGCCTGGGTTCTAAGGCGTGTACAGAATCTGATTCATAGTAAAAATTCAGTAAGTATTAGCTACTGTTTATATTTGAATTTGAAGACCAGTGAATTGACTGACCTTATGTTCCCAAAGTATGGTGCTCAAGAATAGAGAAGTTCTGCCATCCTATAAGGCTCTTGGCAATATACTTTTCCCTGGAGATCCAAAATGAAGGTTAATGTATCAGTGAAGAAACCTGTTTAACTTTTTAATCCAATGTTTACTAAGCTTGAGCACAATTACACCTATTAACAGTGTACTACAGTTGGTAAACACTGGACTAATAACTTTCCCCTGAGTTCCATCGATTTATTGGAAAGACTTAAACAGAACGTGTAGTTTAGATCCCCCAACCCCTCAGTCCCCCGTGAATCTATCTTTCCTAGAAAGACAAGTGAAGCCAGTTGTCTCGCAAAAAATACTCACTTTAACCCATTCTTTTAGAGTACTGCAAACTTGCCACCAGGTGGTACTGTTGCATAAAATGAAAGTGTCATAAAATGATTGAGTGTCACGGTATACCTCAAAGATGGTCAACGCATATAATGAGAATCATGTTAGATACCATGTAGCATTCACCGAAGTTGCCTGAAGGACTTTTTCGTTTCTTGGCTTTTGTTAAAGGAGGTCCTTTGAACCTTGAAATATAACCAGAGTGTTAGACTTGGGAAGTTCATATTTTATATCACCAAAGGGAAAAGTAAAATCTAAATGAATTATTTAGTTTTTTTAGAAATATGCAGAATAGGAAATAGAACATTCTTGAGAAAGGCAAGTTAGCATAGTGGTCAGCAGTGTGGGCTATAGTGTATGTTCTGGGTTCAAATTCTGGCTCGTTGACTAGTAAGTACATGACCTTATCTACTAACTTTCCATACCATTATTGACCATTGGTGATCTTAAGCAATGTTGAACATACAGTGTCAATTCAGAAATATTTACAGCTTATAGGATTGTTAGGGGAATGAAAGAAAATCTGTCTAAAGTACTTAGAAAAAGGCCTCACACACAGTACATGATAAATATTAGCTATCATTATTATTCTAAATTTTTCTTTCCTCTACAGCTTATTTTCAGTTGCTTTTTAAAGACGGAAAGCTCATGGTGCAAATTGTTATTTCCAGGTAAGTACATTTTGAGACTTTTTTGTTTAGCTTGAATGATTAGGGTTATATACGTTTGAAATTTTCCTGGAAGAATCAGGGTCCTCAGGTGCATCTTGCACACATCCTTGCATTTCATCTGTAGTTCAGTGCCTAGCACTGCCTAATTTTCCAAGAACTTGTGCTCAACAGAGTTCCTTTGGGCCTTGAATGGTGGTGTAGGACACTATTCATCCTTCACCCCTCAAAAATATTGTAACCGCCAGCCCTTTGCTTGCAGTGCTGGGGCTGGAGGCCTGGCAGAATGGGTGCTGATGGAGCTACAGGGGGAGATCGAGGCTCGCTACAGCACTGGATTAGCTGGAAACCTCCTGGGAGACCTACATTACACCACTGAGGTGAGGGGACTTTTCTTTCCCTGCCTAATGCCTCAGGAAAGCAAGCTACACCAAGGTGGTGCTCCCAGGACCCAGAGTGAGGACTGCCCTCAGGTTTGTTATTCGAGGTCTAGCTAATCTAAGCTATCTGCTTGTTCTCCCCCGACCCCTGCAGTAGCAGGGAAATTTAGCTTTGGGCAATCTGGAAAATCACAGTTCTGAAAAGTGGGAATTCTCTTACCTGGGGCTACAAAGAGTAAAAAGGGCACGAGGGTGGTTGTCTGGTGTGGCTCTTCAGCAGTAGTAGAGCCATACCAGGGACTGCAGGTGCCAGCGTTGCTCGCCAGGAGCAGCTCTAGAAGGCACCTGAGTGTTACGACCTTGCCCTGAACCTCAGGCATTTCATTCTTGTTCTGCCGAAGGGAATCCCTGTGCTGATCGTGGGGCATCATATCCTGTATGGAAAAATCATCCATCTGGAGAAACCTTTTGCCGTTCTTGTCAAACACACTCCTGGGGAGCAGGACTGTGATGAACTTGGCTGCAAGACTGGCACCCGGTACCTGGTGACAGCACTCATCAAAAACAAGATCCTTTTCAAAACTCGCCCCAAGCCCATTATCACCAACGTCCCCAAGAAAGTATGAAAGAACCCCGGATTTTCCCCAGAGAGCGGCCAACTCCTTGGACTCGTGCTCAGTTGCCACCTCGAGGACGGCTCGACGGTTCCCTGGGACCACAGGGGGGTCCTGTTTTGAACACAGGCCACCCGCTAGGCATGAATTCTGATCCCTTCCTCATGGCATCCGGTTCTCTTGGTGGAAATCTGGCCCCATTTCCAAGGAACCCATCGCCTTTTCCAACTTCATCAGGCTCATTGGCTTCAAATCCAGCACCTTTCCCTGCTGGTGCTCGTGACCCAGCCATGGCTTCTTTTCCAAGAGGGATGAATCCCACTGGTGCAGGTGCAGTTTCTTTCCCAAGGCCCAGTGGCCTTTTGGGCCCAGGCCCAGGGCCATCTCTAAACCCTAGGGCAGGGGCTCTTCCAGGTCCAGGGCCTCTGTCTAACCCAAGGTTAGGGGGTCTCCCAGGGCCGGGTCCTATGTCCAACCCAAGGTCGGGTGGTCTCCTGGGAACAGGTCCTGACCCTAGAAGTGGCGGCCCTATGGGCCCTGGGCCTGGGCCCAACCTGAGAGCAGGTGTCCTGTTGACTCCTGGGAATGGTCCTCCTAATCCTAGGCCCGTTGGCCTGGGACCAGGACCAAGTCCCAATCTGAGGTCAGGCTTTGTTGGTACAAACCCTGCCCCGAGGTCGGGTATGTTTCCAGGCCCGGGCCTTGGGCCCAGCCCAAGAGCAGGTGGCCTGGGCCCAGGCCTTGGACCCAACCCAAGGGCAGGTGGCCTGGGCCCAGGCCCTAATGTGGACAACAGAGCGGGTGGCCTCCTGGGCACAGGATCTGGTCTTAACTTAAGAATGGCTGGACCTCAAGGCTTAGATCTTGCCCCCATTCTAAGAGCAGCAGGTCTTTTAGGAGCAAATTCAGCTGCTTTCTCACAGGCTTCTGGAAACATGGGCACAAGCCCATCCTCTATGGCAAGAGTACCTGGCCCCATAGGCCCAAACTCCGGTCCTGGCTCTCGGGGAATTGGCCTTCCAGGGCCAAATCCATCCATGTCCAGGGCTCCTGGCCCCATAGGTCCTAATTCAGCTCATTTTTCAAGGCCAGCTGGGCCCATGGGGGTAAATGCGAATCCCTTTCCAAGGGGGACAGGTTCAGGGGGCCTGAATCCAGCTGCCTTCTCTCAGTCCTCTGGCACATTGGCTTCAAATCCATCTACCTTCCAGAGGTCTGCTGGCATCCAGGGCTCAAGTCCAGCAATTTTCCCAAGAACCTCTGGGCCACCAGGCCCCAACCCAACTAACTTCCCAAGGGCCAGTGGCTTGTAGGGTCCAAGTCCCGCTGCCTTCCCAAGGTCTACTGGCCCATTAGGCCCTGGTCAGGTTACTTTCCCCAGGTCAGCTCCTGGGCCCCTGGGCTCTTCTCCAGCAGGCCCTGTGGGTATCAACCCAGCTCCTTTTGCAAGGCCATCTGGGACCCTGGGTCTAAACCCAGCTTCCTTTCCAAGGATGAATGGCCCTGTAAGCAAGAACTTTGGTCCCATTTCCTAGAGGGGGAGCCTCCCTGGCACAAACCCAGCTGCTTTCCCCAGACCAGGGGGTCCAATGGCTGCAATGTACCCAAATGGAATGTTACCCCCTTAAACACCGTTTTCTCTCCAGGACCACTTTGGTTTTTAGGCACCATGGTTCTGGGCAGGCGCTGTTACAAGTAAGGGTAGATGCGGAGCTACAGTCTGAAGTACATAGCTGGGGCTCAAGTTCAGATGAGCCATCTTTTTCCTTTGCTTTCTTGACTGAAGGTGAAATGTTTTATGTGGGAGATGGATAACGGCAGGTGAGAATGATCCTGACCTTGAGAGAAAGGATCTCCAGCCCTCCAGGAGCCTGCTGTGCTTTTGTCCCACAGCTTTATGCCCCTTGTTTCTTACTAGTTTCTTGAATTGTTCATGTGGATTTTTCCTCAGGGATACATTGGCCTGCAGGTCCCAATTCACATGTAGTCCCCTGCTCACCACTGGAGAATCAGCTCACTGCTCTCTAGAAATGTTGCGTTGGTGAACAGACTGTGCTTCAGCAGCTCTGACCTGGGCAGCTTGGACCTGGTCGTCCTCTACTGCCATACCTTTCCCTGGGGGCTTGAACACAGAACAGGGAGGTGGGCAACCACTTCAAGACCCACCAAATACAATTTCTGCTTGATTGACTGGGCCTGCAGCTTCCTTCTCCTGGGACTTTGAGGAGGCCAGAGTCAAGGCTCCACTGCTCATCTAACTCCCTCTCCACTAGTACTCCTGATCAAAGAACCTCAAAATTTAAACTGATGTGGATGGGAATTGGGGTGGGGGGGTGGGAGGGCTAAAGGGGAGATATCACTGTGCTTCGTTCAGCCTGATGTGAGAGGATGGTTGGTTTTTCTCCTGCTTGTATCTTTTCTTACCGTTTCTTTAATAAATGGGATGAGAGGGCTGCCGATGTCACTCCACTTCGTTACCTGTTCCCACAGGAAAGGAATTTTACCCACTGCTTTTCGTTGTTTCAGCTTGGCCACAATCCTACGTTATCTGCCAGGTAAAACGTGGTCACTCAAGCAGGAAGCAAGCGTTGACTTTTAACCTTAGCTAGGACTCATTCATCTGCCAGTGATTTCACCAGAGACCTTGCCCATCCTCAACCAAAAAAAAAAAAAAGTTAAGCCACCAGAGGTTGTGCAGTTATCAATAAGGTGGGCCTGCTGTATGCCCCAGGTCCAGAGGCAGCTGTGACTACTTACCCTGTTTGAGTTCCACTGCCAACTATCTTGACAAAAGTATTTCTACTCAAATACTTTTGAAACTGGAATAAAACCAGTTTAAGTACAAGGAGGAAGTAGTTCAGAGATAACCAACATTATGTGAGAATCTTTATTTTGACAAGTGTAGTATAAAATACTTGACCTGAAAAGTAAAAAAAAAAAAAAAAGTAAAAATAAATATGTTTACAAATTACTGTAGAAAGAATACAAAAGGGTTTAAAATTCTCAATGAGGAAAACAACAAAATGTGTCCAGTTGTATAAAGGCTCTTCCCTTGCAAGAAACGGGGATAAAGCTGAAGACCCAGTTTGGTTTCGCTGCTGAAAAGTGTACAAAATAACTTAGAAAAACCAGTCGAGGTCAAACGTTGTGAGCCCACTACTTGTACCTGCCTACTCTTGATTTGAGCTCGGTTGATGACCACAGTGCGAGGCAGAGCTGAATGTAGGACAACCAGGAGTTCATCCAGGAGTCTATCCTACCTTAACCTTCAAGTAAAAGCTGAAGAAAAACAAGCCCTTAGTGAAGTCTGAGCTCTGCAGTTGGCTGACCGGATTTCCTCCATTGTAGTGCTCAAAATAGTTTACTTGGCCAACAAAAACACGGAAGAGCCTGGAACAACTGCCTTTAGCAAATGCCTCTGCCTCTTCCCGGCCTTCATGGGTCGGGCCCAACACCAGCCAGCAGTCTTACCAGAGGCTCGAGGTCTGTGAATCAGCAATGTTGGCTGCACCTGGAAAACCCTTGTGTTCACGGGAGATGACAGAAAGCACCAGGGTTTGCCAATCTGTGGCTCAGAGCACACTTGGTTCCTTTGTAGGGAGCACCTGGGCACACTAGAGGCTTGCCCCCTCAACGACTGTCTACCTTAGTGCTGGTTCTGAGGGGTTAGCAGGCCCTGCTAAGAATGGACACTTGGAGAGCGGAAGCAGGCACTCGTGCAATCAAGCATCCCCTAAGTCAAAGGCTTAGTCAAGATCCCAGGTTTCAAACGCAAGAACGGAGAATAGTCTGTGGATTGCAAATCTCCAGAAAATGCCTTCCCTCACTACCCCCAACAAGCAAAAGAAAACCAAAGCTTCAAGGAGCATGAGAAAGAAAGAACCCTAGGATTTAGGAACCAATTCTATCTCTGAATTTGGTTTCTGGAAAGAAGCAAGTGCAATAATGACTATCCACAACTTGGCCAAGAATTCCCTGGAGAAGCCACTGAGGAGAATGGACAGTCTCAAAGACGACAAGCTTGGATTTGAGGCTTCACTTAGGGAACACTGAAAAGCTTTTCATTGGAGATGATTGTCAAGAACGGTAGCCTGAAAGTCATGCACGCTTAGCCAGCTGCTAAGGAATCTGTCCAAGCAGTTCCAAGATTGTAGTTTGGTCAGAGGCTCCTAATCATTTTTGCCCCCACTTGCGGAGGGCAGGGGTGCCTATGGCAGAGGGGCCTGGGAGAGCCAGGTTCTGTCTCAGTGGCCACCTTGAAAAACTTCCCCAATGAGAAAGAGGGTGGGAGAGGTGACTGCATCACCTCGAAGAAAGCAAAGGAAGGAGGCTCTCTTCGACTCACAGTGGAGTTTGAGAGAGGAATTGAGGAGTATACAGGGTCAAGTACCTGAGCCCTCCCTTCCTTTCTGAGTATGTTGGGATTTCATCTTCCGGTAGGTGACCAAAACATTTCCTCTCCCCAGCAGAGATCACAGGCAAGTTCATCTAGATGTCGGGCAGTTTCCAGGTGAGATACATTTGGCCCAAGGCCTCCATATAGCCCCTGGTCTTTAGCACCACCACCAATCTTTGTTCCTCCTGGCAGACTTTCATTTTTAACCTAGATATATATATATACACACTCAAAAGCAGTTCAGTGCTAACTCCCTGCTAGTTTGGTTCATCCTTGGGATGTTGAGATGTGGAATGGAGTATGTCACATAATAAAGCACCATTCCTGGACCCTGTTTTCTGATGCCCAAAGATCAGGCTTCTGGGCCTTGTATCTCAGGCACAATCTTATTGCATTGATAGCTAGATGTGGGGGTGGGGGTGGGGGACACGTTACTAGCTGGTCCAGATCTCTCAGGAGTTCTCCCACCACCTCTGGTTGTGTTCAGAGGGTCTAAGAGAATTCTCTCTTGCCACAGGCTGTCACTTACCTATCAGAAGTTGCCACTGATCGGAACTAAATTGGTTTAGCACACTTCTGGGTTCCCTGTGGATCCTGGGGGAGGAGGTGGAATCTTTCCCATCGGCCACCAGGCATGCAGAGGCAAGCAGATGGGTGGCGTGAAAATAGCCCTCTGAGCTGGATGGCGTTGCTTCCTGTAACTGCCCCAGACCATGTAGTACAGTCACCGCTCTTTGCACTGCAGATTTGTCCTTTGGACCATTAATAAACTAAAAGAGCACTCCCTCCTCCCTCCCACCCCATCTTTTCTCTTCCATTCCCCTCCCCTCCCTTACCCATTGCACTTTTCCCACTCTGCTTGGGGGGCTGTGTCACACCTCAGCAAAAGCTAAGCTGTACTGCTCTGGCTTCTTCCCACATCGCCGGGCGATTATGGCCAGATACAACATGAGGAGGGCCACCCAGTAGCAGCCGTACAGGATGGCCCCGGAAACCAGGAAGGCTAGCTCTGTCTCACTGAACAGATCCTGGCAATAAGCTGTGTAGGCCAGTCCCCCTAGAAGGACCGCCACCCAGATGGACACAGGGATGAGGCCAATGAAGTTCACCACGATGGTTTTTCGGCCAGAAGTGCCCCAGCCAGACTTGTTGATGGTAGCAATGGCAAAGATCTTGGCTGGCAGGAGGCTGGACATATAGAGAAGGGAATAGAGGGACATGAAGATCATTTCTGCATTGCCCCGAAGGAAGCAGGCATAGGTAGCTTTGATAATGCCCACCAGCTGCACTGTCAGCAGGAAGAGGAGAATATTCCAGATGCGGCCTC